AGAGTGGTCTCTCACATCATCTTTGGGATAAAGAACTAGAAGATGAACTAAGATAAATCCTCCCTCCACGTTGAATTAATGGACAAAATATGTGTATTTATTTTTCCTTGGGAATTTTTTTAATTTGTGGGGATTAACATTCCCTTATGCACATAATTCCGTCTCTCCATATTTAGAAGTGGTTGTACAAATTTCCATTCAAACTCAAAAAGTTTGCTTTGATATATCCCACTCCTTCAATGAATTCCCTCACCATATAAAACCACCAAAGACCAAACATGCTACATGAAATGCTTTTTAAGCTGCAAATCTTCAAGGGAACATTAATTTATTTCCTAAACACCAATTTTATTAAAACATTCCCCAAATCACTTGGGTTTCCAACCCGCCTTACTACTTTATTAAGCAATAGCTGGATGTAATACTCTATTCCTAGAAAAAATAATTTTCAGAGGCCCATCAAGACAGTAAATTCTACAAGGAATAGCTATAATTAGCATTCCTTGTAGAATGCTAATTATAGCTATTAATTAGAATGCTAATTGAGCAGGTTATCATGGGTAGTTAGCTCAGGGTCTTGGCCCCATATGTTCTCAGCACAGGTTCCTCCACGGAAGTGTTATCACATCACTGAGGCATGGGACATTTTCCCTGAAATAGGCAGGCTGCTTCCCAGGGTCTGGAAAAAGGAAAGCAATCCCCTCCCTCTGCAAATTCATTCAACTCCAACCAACTGTAGTTTTGTTCAATGTTTCTTCTGTTTGTAAAGACAAGGAACCTTTAATCCTTGTTATCTCTAGTGAGGGATTGAATATACTTTCATTTTAAATCTGTACTGTTTAAATTTCTAATCATGGGTATAAATAACTTACAATTTAAAACAATTTGAAGGTTAATTCCAATGTAGTTAGTGCCAGGTACTATGTTTGGTGACGAGGACACAGTGGTGAAACTGATACACAGGTTCCTATCCTTGCGAAAGTTATTGCCTCATCAGAGATACCATTAATAGAATAATCGCTTCAATCATTACTTGTAAGTGTTATCAAGGGTCCCACAAGAGCATAGACTAGGCAACCAGAGTTAGTGCAGGAGGCAGTCAGGACAGGTGATGCTGAGGAGGTGACAGTCATGTGGCAACAGAAGGTGAGGAGGCATCACCCAGGCAAAGGCCGGAGCGGCCCCTCTGAGGGGCAGGTGCGAGGCTGGCCCTAGGTGGCCTGACTTCTGAACCAGTGACTCTGCTGCAGGACCTACCCTTGCAGGTCCTGTCAACATCCCAAGGCAGACAATTTTAAAACACAACCATCAGCACTCACAGGTAAGAAAATAGCTCTCCAGGGATTAGCGCTGTAAATCAGACTGAATTGCAGCCATAACAATACTTTCCTTCCCAAATGACCCGCCCAAGTCTCTTAACGTCCAGAGTATTGTTTGTCATTTACAAGCTTGAATGAAGGCATAAACCAGAGTAACAAAGTCGAGAAAAACTACCTCATAATCATTCTCCACTCACCCACCCATTCACAATTGCTATTTAAAAAGGCAACGAGCCAGGCACCGAGGGTGCACAATGGGTAAGACACATCAGAGCCCTGAAAGGGTTTGTAGCCCACTGAGGTGGCCTGGATGGCATGCAGGCTTACGCTACAACCCAAGGACTCTAACAGAGGCATGAAGAGAATCCTAGGTGACAAAGTGAACGTTTGAGTGCTCAGTCAGTTTCAGGCCCACCTCAAATAATCTGGCCATATTGTTGTTACATAAAAGATAAACCAATGTCGATAAAACAGAGTGACTGAGCTGAGGAAAAATTAATATTTAATCCTGTATTATCAAAGGCAGCATCTCGTCTTCTGGCATCATTCCACAAAGTCTCTTTAAGTGTGTTTACTGGCCACAGTAAGAATTTGGGAAGTTTACTGCCGTAAAGGATTAGAGATATGAGGGAAAGACGGTATGCTTTTAAGACCCTCAGAACATGGAAACGGCTCTCCTTTTTCACAAATATTTGGAAAGGTCCCCCAGAGTACAGCCTTCCAGCTCTCTAACCCTCTCTGCTCATTCCCAGGCACATGTCTCCCTGTAAAGCAGAACCGCAATGACTCCTGCTGCCCACTGTATCCATGCAACTCCTTTCTCTTGCCCTTAAAGATCCCAATCCCACCCCATCTCCCAATCCAGAACAGCTGCTCCGAGCACCTGCCCATCTTGTCTCAGAGCTCACCTCATTCGTCTCTCCTTCATATGGTTTTCATACAAGTGCCACTGGTTGAGATATTTCTCTTCCCCAAATATCCAAATCCTACTTGCCCTTCCTTTCAGGTGTATGTCTCACTAGCTCCCTCCTTAATGGGCACTCTTCTCCAGTCCCCACTCAGTGCCTGTACAGGCAGGTCATCACTCAATCGCATCGTGAATGACCCCTCCACTGCATGGGGTCCCTTTAAAAGTGCTGTCTGTTGGGTACACTAATGGGCTGCCCCCTCCCTGACAGGAGGTCTCTATGTGGGGCTTCTTCTAATTTACATGGGGTTTCTAGTGAGGCTTCCCAAGAAGAGAGATAAGACCTAGGACCATGCTCTACTCTCCTACCATGCTGGCTGTGAGTGGAGAAGCTGTGAGCTCCGCACGGGTCCTGGTGAAGGGCCCCGCCGGGGGAGTTAAAGGCTCCCTTAGAAGGAGTGGACCTCAAGGGCTTACTGCTGCCATCAAATCTGGCCGACAAAGTCATTCCCTCAGCTCTTTACTTCTCTGTCTTCCACGTCATAGTGTCCTCTCACTTGCTTGGTCTCCTAGAAGACTTTCAGAGTCTTTCTGGGTAGTTCCATCTGGTTAATGGGACTCCACGCTCCCTCCCGGCCAGACCCACAGCGGCCTCACCTGGATCTCCCGCTGTCACTGGCTTGCGTGGTTCAGAAAGCGCACTGGAGTGAGTCAGAGTGGCTGCACCTCAGCCCAGAGCTTGCTTCCTCTCCCCGCCCTCACGGCAGCATTCCTGTGTCCTCCCACCTGCAACACTAACCACCCTCACACACCTGGTCAGGTAGGTTAGCTTGTGTTGTGGAGGGTTGCTAGGAACGCCAGCCACACGGAGGTACTCTCCTTTTCCACCCGATGTTCCCTCGGCAGTTTCACTGTGCATCACAGACCGCCCTCGCCCCCACCCCATAACAAAGAAACAGAATTTCCAGAGGATGAGGCCCAGGAATCAGTATTTTAAAAAGATTCCCAGGTGATTCTAAGGTGCAGCCCAGGTTGAGAACCACTGCCCTAGAGTGACAGGCCCTCCCCCGCCCCGCCCCCAACTGTTTCCTTCTGGAAGCTCTTCCACCTGCCCATCCTGCTCTGTGTTCTTTAATATTCAGTCACAAACCCACTCCTTCTCTCTTGTAGTGCTGCTATCTCAGGAAGTTGATTTCTCCCCATGACCCTAACTATCATTTATTATGATTATGTGAACTACTCTCCCTAACTTAACAGCAGACTCCCTACTTTGTCACCAGACGACATTATTTTTCCTTAAAGTGAGGAAGCCAAGAAAGAGGCAGGCTCCAATCTCTGCTCCAGTACCTGCTAATCCACATTAATTAACCTCCCGGAGACTCCACTGCCTCCACTCTAAACTGGGAGTAACACCACCTCCCACTGGAGTTGATGTAAAGGTCAAAT